TTTACGTTATTTCTATATCTTGACTACTGTAAATAATGCTGCCACTAACATGGAACTGCATATATCTCTGTGACACAGTGATTTACATCCCTTTGGATATGCACCCAGAAGTGAGATTGCTGGATCATAAGGTAGTTTTATTTTTAAATTTTTGAGAAACCTTCATACTGTTTGTTACAATGGCTGTACCCCAGGAAAAGATAAACTATGTGAGAGAATGGATAGTTTACTTAGCTTGATTTGTGGTGAATATTTCACAATGCATACATGTCAAATCATCAAGTTGTACATGGTAAATATATATAATTTTAAGTTGTCAACTATATTTCAATAAAGTTGGGAGAAAAATCCATCTTAGTTTCTTTTTTTTTTTTTTTTTGAGACAGAGTTTCGCTCTTGTTACCCAGGCTGGAGTGCAATGGCCCGATCTCGGCTCACCGCGCAACCTCCGCCTCCTGGGCTCAGGCAATTCTCCTGCCTCAGCCTCCTGAGTAGCTGGGATTACAGGCACGCGCCACCATGTCCAGCTAATTTTCATCTTAGTTTCTTAAAAGTGGTTAGTCATATTGGTTAAATAAACATCATACTTAAACTGACACTTTACATAGAACATGAAATATTCTTTCAAGTACATGAAATTTTTTTTTGAGACAGAGTCTCGCTCTGTCACCAGACTGGAGTGCAGTGGTGCAATCTTAGCTCACTGCAATCTCTGCCTCCCGGATTCAAGCAATTCCCCTGACCCAGACTCCTGAATAGCTGAGACTACAGGCACACACCACCATGCCCGGGAAATTTTTTGTATTTTATTAGAGATGAGGTTTCACTGTGTTGGCCAGGATGGTCTCGATCTCCTGCCTTGGCCTCCCAAAGTGCTGGGATTACAGGAGTGAGCCACAGCGCCCAGCCAAATACATGAATTTTAATAACTGTATAGTATTACATTTTTTATGTGTATGATAATGTCTTAGACAAATTTCCCATTTTGGGACATTCATGTTGTTTCTAATATTTTGACAATTTAAACATAGATGAGATAAACATTCTCACATATACATCTTTTTTTTACATCTCTGATTATTTCTTTTATTTACTTACTTAGTTTTTGAGACAGAGTCTTGATTAATCACCCAGGCTGAGGTGCAGTGGCATGAATTTGGCTCACTGCTGCCTCGACCTTCTAGGCTCAAGCGATCCTCTTGCCTCAGCCCCCCAAGTAGCTAGTACTACAGGTGCATATCACCACATCTGATTAATTTTTTTATTTTTTGTAGAGATGAGGTTTCACTACGTTCCCAGGCTGGTCTCAAACTCCTGAGCTCAAGCAATCTACCCATCTCAGCCTCCCAAAGTGCTGGGATTACAGGCGAGAGCCATCAAGCCTGGCCTTCTGATTACTTCTATAAGACAGATTCCTAGATGTAGAATTACAGACAAAGCATAGGAATTAAAAAATCATTTTATCATACTAACTTGTGATCAGGGCACATATATTAATAAGTTGTATCTCCATGGGCCTATCTTACTCAAGTCTGTTATTCTGTAAGTTTATATTCCCCTAGACACCTACGAGTTTGTGAGTCTAAACTCCTTTCTAAACTGTTGTGAGTGTAGTCCTCAAAAGCTAACATGCACCCTCCCAAAGTTCTAATTAAATCTGACTTGGAAATCAATAGTAAAAATTTCTTTTATCTCTATTTTTTCTTATTGCTTTTATTTTATTTTTACTAGTCCTAATACTAATTTCATTAAAAGTCTTTACTTTTGTAATATGAAACTAGAGATAAGCAAAACTAGTAAACAGGTTCTATCATTAGTATATTTACATAGAAAATAAGCATCAATCAGTGAAGCCACAAAATTTGAAGAGAATTCAGCAAAAATATATCTATGATCTATACAGGAAACACAAGGCTAATTTTAAGAGTTGTGTTTATTTAATTATACAGTTATTTGTTTATTTAGTAAATACTGAATTTTTAGCACGTGCCAGATATCATGTTTAGTTTCTACAGACCGTTTTGCCTTTTATATCTTTTTCTAAAATGGTGAGTTGTGTTTCTTTGAAGTAACATAAAAGTAGCATTTGTTTTTTGGACTAAGATTGTTCATCTGTGTGTGTGCATGTTTTCAACTTATCAAAAGAACATACTGTGCTGTTAAGAAAGATGCTACTTAAACTGATCTAGTTCCCCGCATCATGCATAGGATTTCTCTCTGGTAGAAAAGGTGAATACCCTAAAGAGGGAATTGCTGTAACTTATTGCTTGTAAGTAAAAGTTACCTGTGACTGTGGCATAAAACCTAATTCTGACAGTTACACTTCTCTCTGAAATTTTTGGGGGACTAGTTGATTCCGTTGTTTAAATCATCCTAACGAATCCATTCATATGATTTGCCACTTTGCACTACGCAATTCTTAAAAAATAAGTGTTCAGCCAGCAAATCAAAAGCAAAGTTGTAACAGAATTTTGTTTTGTTCACTGATTTCTCCACATCTTTAAAAGTATGCATATAAATGATCAAAGTACATAAAAATGAGAATTAGCGTTGTTTTGGATATGACAACTGTATTTTTTTGACAGTACCAAAAAAAAAAAATACAAAGAAAATGTCTTTTAACTTTTGCCATTCCTCTGATGGGATAAATCCTGACGATTCTCTCAGGGACCTCCAGTAGATAAGCTCAACACTCAAGAACCATTGCAGCTCAAGGTAAAAGAAGAATTCCCAGGGCATCAGTGTCCCCCATTCCACACAGCAGAAACTTGCATCTCCTTTAGAACCCCAGGGTTTCTATCTGGGCTAGCCTTGGATAAAATCGTAAAGAAAACCAAATTTTACTGAATGCCCTTTTCTTGTCCCTTCTTACCACCTCCCACTAGAATCTAGCCTTAGACTTTCAGCCATGTTCCCAGCCTCATGGTACTCCAGTAACTATCCCAAGAGATCTTGGTTCTAAACTAGGAGCCAGTATGTTGCTATCTAAATTTTGAAAGGGACACTGGAAGATGGAACAATAAGCCCTAAAGGACAGAATCTCTTGTGGATGCAATAGAATGACACTGATGTGACAGGTGCTGGGGGCAGTGTGTTATTTATGGACACAGAGCCCTTCCTTGCACCATGGAAGCAACTGTCCACTCTGCATACTCTCAAGGCCAGCCTTGCTTAGGACTCAGAGACGGTTTTAATTTTGTGATGCCCAAGACAGAGTGTGAGGGTAGAGAGGGTAAACAGATCTGCATGTAAGCAGGAGTAAACCAACTGAACAATTCACGAGGAACAAAGTTGTATTCGTCCTTGTTATGGGAAAGGAAGAACCTTGGTTCTGTGCTGTGGGAGCTACTGCATTTCAAAGGAAGGTCTGATGGGTGTTAAAAATTTATTAACTACCTTTACAGGAAGGCATTAGCTCAGATCATGGTTTGGAGGCAGTTTAGCAAAACCGAGGCAAAGAGGTGTCGTATGCTCATGTTCACTCCTGAATCATACCTTGCAACATTACCAACCTCCTGACCACTTCAGTCAGGCACAGACTGAAAGGTTGATTCTGTGGTTTGGACCATGATGTTTAGACTCCAAGGCAAAAAGTACAGAATGAAGGTAAGCTTAGGACACCTCAGACCACCCTAAGTAACATAAAGCCTTATTGCATGGAGTCAAAGAAAAAGATTTATGTGTCCCTGGAAGCTATTTTTTATTTTTGGAAGTGATTGTCATCAAAAGCTGGCTGTTAAAAGCAAGATCACGGTGTTTTCTTTTAAAGGCAACAGACTGGGAGATATTTTCCTCTAACTTCTGAAAGACCTTAAAAGTGAAGGTATGCCTGCCTGGTCCAGAGTCTACTTATTAGTTCTAGGACAGTTGGTGGGTCTTTTAAACCTCGTGAATCTATAATACTTGTAATATAGAATTGGAATGAGGATTTAAAACAAGGTAATGTATACAAAATGTTTTATACAGTGCTTGAAACCAAGCAAGCACTTGATAACTTATTGTTATTATTACTATTGCCAAATGTATTAAAAATTTTACATGATAACCAAGCTTTCCCTTTTCTCACTATCTGAATTAAGGATTAAACTTAGCCTATCTGTGAAATAAACCAACACTTATTGATAACTGAGGAATATATTTGGCATTTAGCATTTAGGGATCCTTAATTCAGTGGTTCTTTACCAGGAGAACATGAAAAAATATCTGAGATTCCGTAAGTTCCCTAAAATTGCATGCAAAATTTGGAGTGGATGGGTGTCCCTCTGAAGGGAGAATCCATAGCTTTCATCAAATGTTTTCATGACCATAGGCAATGTTAACCAGTACTTTAAATGAAGAGGCTGATTGTAAAATATGATTGCATCAATTACTTTGTAAATTAGCTACTTATGGAGAACAAATGATTTCTCTAGTGGTCTTCCCTGGAAGAAGATTGAATGTTAAATGGCACATTATTATTAAGAGTCAATTTCTCTAGGTGGGGTGTGGTGGTTCAGGCCTGTAATCCTAGCACTTTTGGAGGCTGAGGTGAGTGGATCACCTGAGATCAGGGGTTCGAGACCAGCCTGCCCAACATGGTGAAACCCTGTGGCTACTAAAAATACAAAAATCAGCAGGGCATGGTGGCAGATGACTATAATCCCAGCTACTCAGAAGGCTAAGACAGGAGAATTGCTTGAACCTGTTGGGATGGAGGTTGCAGTGAGCCGAGATGGTGCCATTTCACTCCAGCCTGGGCAAAAAAGCAAAACTCCATCTCAAAAAAAAAAAAAAAGTCAATTTCTCTAGATTGAGAATTGGGACACCCATACATAGAACTTAAAGCTGTCAGAATATTGTCTGGCCTTTCCTCATGCTTCTGAGTGGTGCCTTATATAAACAATTTCTCATGAACTGTTGCTGGCCCTCAGCTGGAATGAGTCCTAGACACTTTAGATGTGAGGTTTGGATAAATCAGTTACTCTCCTCTTGCCTTTATCATTGTGTCTTGATGTCTTTAGGTCCACTCCAGTAATGCTCCTGTGACTGACTGTCTGGCACCTTAGTACTCCTGCATGCAGATCTTCACTTCATCCCAAGCTTTCAGGAAAAGGCTGGAGACACCTGGGCTGAATTGGAGTTGTTCTGCATAGTAAGAGTGTTCCCATCGTTTTCACCCTACCCTCATTAGAGATACAAAACAGTAAGAACCTAGGTAACTTCCTTTGTGATAGTAGTTAAAAATTAAAAAAAAAAAAACAACATTAAAATAAAAAACTTTACATAGACCAGCTCAGTTCTCTGTGAAGCCTGTGCTATCTCATACACTGAAAGCCCAAACTTCAGACAGGGTTAGATTTAATCTGGTGATTTAAACAGGTGAAAGACTCTGTATCCTGTTACTAATCCCAGAGCCATACAATCCCCCTGTCACCCCAGTAATATCACTGAGAAAGTCAGCAGGCAAGGCCATGGGTTGAACTTTGTCATCTACTGGTGCTGGCTGACGAACTCAATACTCGTCTGCTAGTAATGAGTCAACAACTTTTATTCCAGTGACCACTGAGAGCAGCTGTTTGCTATAGTTGACAAGGAGTAGTAACAGAGAGAAGAGGTAGAAAGAAAAACAAAAAGAGATTTTGTTTCCCCTCAGAAAACTAATGGTCCAAGTGAAAACACAAGCACAAGTATGTAAAGAACTTGTAAAGCAAATACAGAATGAGTTGAATATAAACCCAGACATTGGAAAAATATTACATAAGAGGAGATATTCACAGATGAAGATGGCTGGAGAGGAACTGAAGAATTACACCACGGGTTTCCATGAGCGGAAAGTCTTGTGCCAGCCTTGATACAGTGTGAGCCATGGGTGGGGGGCAGCTGGGAGGGTCTCATGAATGAAGAGGAATATGATATAAAAGAACAGAAGAGAGACAAATGAAAGCAGGTAGAGTGAACAATCAAATTTGTTTAGTTGATAAACACAACAACTCCATATCCAAAGGAAACGGTCAGTTCTGAGAACAAAGAGGAGCCTGGATTACATTTCAGTGCTCACTTATTCATTCATTCATTCATTCATTCATTCATTCAACACATATTTAGAGAGAATGAACCAGGAGATGATGCTTCTCTTGGCACTGAGGGCACAGACTAATTCCAAATTCCCTGCTTTTACGTTCTAAGGAGAGGAGACAGACAATAACTAAATAAACAGTAAATGAAAAGCAAAATAACATTTTTACATCTACTTGGTGAATAAGATCCCTAGGGTGCCTTTTAAGGAGACTGAGATACCACAGTGTGAGGGAACATTCTTGGTGGAGCATGGTGACTATCTCGTGTGTGGTCTCTGAACACTGGCACTATTCTATACCTTTTGTTCTGAGGTGGTATTAAGGCCACTGCTATAGAACAATGAACAACTAAATCATAATATTGCCATTGAGTTCATGCGCAGTCTGTCCACAAGTTAGAGGCCTTGGCTGTTAGCGGGTATAAAGTTTGAGATTTTCCAGTCTTGGAGAAGAATGAGAGGAGGTAAATCATGTGTCAACTGTGTTTTGGAAATTGTGTGCAGAACATTCTTTTGTTTCTCTCTCCTTGAGAAGACATACTATAAAATAAAATTTCATACAAAGACTATAAAAGGCTTGAAAAGTATGTACCATCAATCAAAGATAATTTCGTATTTGCCAGTCAACTCAGTTATAGAAATATTTTGATTTCTATATTTACTAAATTTCCTCTCTAAATAAGATAAAGCAATTGATTCAACATTCAAGAGTAAAATAGTAAATTCATTCTAATAGTAAATAGCAAATTCAAATAGTAAAGAGTAAAATAGTAAATTCATTCTTCTAATTTGATATTTGGGAGAAATAAGCAAATGAAGAATAATCTACATTTTTCTGTATTATCTTAAGGGAGATGGGCCTGTCAAGAGCAGTGGCTTGTAATAGAACTGTATAAGGGAGTGAATTGGGACTCTATAGGAGGGCTGGTTTTTGGTCTATGGATGGAGTTTAAATGGTCCTTATCACAATGTTCAAATGATGCTCTGAGACCAGTCAGGCCTTGCAGCTGACCATTGCTGGTTTATAAGGCATGTAAAAGGATGAGACTGTTCTCCATTACAGCCACCATCCATCTTGTCCTCATTGGGTCAATTTGTAAGATTTTAATATGCTATGTACACACTCTCTGAGAAAAATTGGCATCAATCAGAAACTCAGGAAAAAGTGAATTCTTATAAGCCCAACTGCAGTCATTACTGAAAAAAAAAGTCAAAAGTTAGGAAGTGCAAATGCTCAAAGGCAGGTTATTAAAGGTTTCAACAGTTAGACCATTTAAGTTAATAAAGTGGACTTCACATGTAATGTGGATTAAAATGTTACCTGCATTTGTATTTGTTAACCAGGGAAAGGAAAAAATGCATTTTAGGTTTTCTTTTTTTTTTTTTTGAGACGGAGTTTCACTCTTGTTACCCAGGCTGGAGTGCAATGGCGCGATCTCGGCTCACTGCAACCTCTGCCTCCTGGGTTCAGGCAATTCTCCTGCCTCAGCCTCCTGAGTAGCTGGGATTACAGGCGCGCACCACCATGCCCAGCTAATTTTTTGTATTTTTAGTAGAGACGGGGTTTCACCATGTTGACCAGGATGGTCTAGATCTCTTGACCTCATGATCCACCTGCCTCGGCCTCCCAAAGTGCTGGGATTACAGGCGTGAGCCACCGCACCCGGCTGCATTTTAGTTTTTCAACACGCATTTTTCATGTTAACTCTATGTGCTGTTTCGGGTCATTTGTTAAGAACGTGTCTCTCAAAATTATACACAGGAATGGATACTACTGATGACCCTGATGAAGACCATCTTACAAGTTATGATATTCAGCTAAGTATTCAAGAATCCATTGAAGCCAGCAAGACTGTACTTTATCCTGAAAGGTAGTATTCAAATCAACCATCCTCAGCAAACTTTATTTATGGCATTCATTTTGTTGTAAGATAAAATAAACACCATTTCCTAATTCCTCCTCTAGGAAATTGACCTTTCCTTTCTGATAGGGAATCTAGCAGCTTTCCAAGGGCCACTGTGCTTAAGTTTTAGCAATTGGATCTTCCACAAATTCTCACCTCCTGTGGAAACAGGAAAAACCTTATGTGGAAAAATCCTAGACGAATTCGGTGGTACAGAATTGCCTACTTTCTAAATTAATATGGATTCAAAAAAGGCAATGAGTAGTTTGAACATATTTGCAAGTACAGTTTATACAACCAATACATAGACAGGTTGGTATACAGAGGTCTGTATTCCAGAGCTCATTCTGCTACTGATTCAGCTAACCCTTTATAAGTAACATAATCCATTTTTATATGTTTAAAATATGAAGAATAATGCTAAGCCACCTAGCCTATTAATGAATGAGAGAGAGTTGTAGGCTTTTATTTTATATGACAAAGTAATATACAAACTACCACCTATTTGATTACTATCCAAATGACAAGAATTAATAAATTAAAATATACATATCATTGATGCATTATGTAGGTTGGAGTTATTGAGTCTAAAACTAAAAATGTAAATTTCTTTCTTAAAAAGCATGCATTATACGTCTGATAGAAATAAACTACTTTTACTTTTGGTTATAATATTTAAAATCTTGTATTCTGGAATTTAGTAGTACTTTTGAATAGATCCAGTGTTCGAAAATTTTTACTTTTGAGCTTTTACAAAATAGACATAGTACATTTAAATTTCTGGTCTGAAATTTCTCCCTTATCTCCAACAAGCTTTAGAACAGGCGTCCCCAAACTTTTTACACAGGGGACCAGTTCACTGTCCCTCAGACCGTTGGAGGGCCGCCACATACTGTGCTCCTCTCCCTGACCACCAATGAAAGAGGTGCCCCTTTCTGAAGTGCGGGGAGGTGGGGGGGGACGGATAAATGGCCTCAAGGGGCCACATGCGGCCTGTGGGCCGTAGTTTGGGGATGCCTGCTTTAGAACTTTAGAGCTTCCTGGAAGGCATTCACAACCGTGGTACACTAGCAGATGTTTCTGCTTAACAGAGTTAAGTAAATTTGTTATGGAATTCCTTCTTTCCGCTTAATAAACACACACACCGGAAAACTTTCATGAGGGTTTAAATCATAACCTGCTGGCCCAGTGATTGGGGGTTTGTTTAGTAAATGCCCTGCCTGTTTTCACTTGGGTACAGTTGATTTAAAACCCTAAAACTGTTATATGTAGTTTAGACCAAAAGCTCCCAAGTAAGTATCTTATTAGCAATTATTAAGTTCAAAGCAATAAACATTTTTTGAGCATAGAGTTTTTAAAATTGGAAAAAGCCCTAGAGATCTTTCTATTAAGTCCATCATTTTGCAGGTGAAGAACCCACACCAGAAAGGCTAATTGGCCTCCGCAGAATCACACAATCAGGCTATGATCTGAACCTTAGCTCTTCTGACTGATTCCAATTGTTTACTTCTTTTTTATTGCTTTGCGATATCTCAGAGACAGCATCGTAATCTTGTACTTTGCCATCTTCACTAATATTCTTAGATCAATGCATCATAAATAAACTCTGTATCTGACTCCCATACATTTACTTTTTTAAGTAGATAAAATCAGTTGTATGCATCTCCTTTGGATCTTATTAAGTTTAAAAATTCAGTATAAATTAAAATGTTCGGTTCCTTGAAATATAGTACTAGTATAAATATGATCTTTCTTTATTGCATAGATTTGTACCCCTAAGCGGTCAAAACAGAAAACTTGTGGAGGCCATAAAACAAGGTAAATGGGTGTACTATCTACAGTGGGATGAATTGGAGATTCCACCTTGCAAAAACAGAGATTAGTTATCAGTCCATGTGTTTAATTTAGGTCACATTCTTGAGCTCCAGGAGTATGTAAAATATAAATATGCAATGGATGAAGCTGATGAAAAAGGATGGTTTCCATTGCATGAAGCTGTTGTCCAACCCATTCAACAAATACTTGAGATTGTTCTGGATGGTAAGAGAACATAAAACTTGTTTGACCAAACCAGAGCAAGAATGTTGGTATGTTGATGTTATAAGTGTTTTCCATGAACATAACTAGCAGAAAGAAAAAACAGATTAAAATATTATTTGGAATTTGAAAAAGGCAGCATCTATGTTTTAAACTCAGAGTACAAAAATTAGCACTTTTTTGACATTCGGGGTTTACCTTTTGCATCCTTTTACCTACGAATAAGACACAGGTTGGTAGAAAGATGTGGTTATCACAAAAAGGTGATAAAATTTTGTATATATCATGAATTAATTGAGTCATATATTAAACTCTTCTTTTGGAAGTCAATTTAAAATTTTTCATTTTGAACTATCTCTTGAGTTAACAGTTTCCAAATGATTCTTATATAGTGCAGCAGGGAGTACTGACAATATTTGTCTTTATATTACATTGATGTTTTCATAATGTAAGCATTAAAAAATGTTGTGGTAAATCAAGCTAGTGTTAAATATTAACAATAGCTTTTATGTTCTAACACAGTGTTTTCATATCTCAGCATCTTACAGAACACTTTGAGAGTGCCCTATCTTTCAACTTTGACTGCTGTGTAACAGCTCTATGTTCTGGGAGAGAACAATACATAATTGATAATTAGCCAGCCATCTAGAAAGCTAGACAGCTAGACAGACTGATATAAATGATGCTGAGGATCATTTTGCCACAGTGATACCTACATTCAAGTACATTCTCATTCCCACATTCAGAGACTTCATTTGACAAAAAAAAAAAAATTTCAGTTACAATATAAATAATAATACAAAGAACTGAAGCATTGTTTTGTAATGTATCAAGAAATGAGACTTAGCATGCCATTTTCAAAAAGCAGCCAGAAACAGATTTTGGTTTTCTAGCTGTCAATTTGATTAGCAAGTCCATGTGCATCTACTTTATCCTCATTTGGTAAACTTTTGTCAAAGTCTTTTCATTTTCCTCCATTGACTTTGCTCAATCTGTTGTATATCATATTGAGTTGCTCTGATTTGTGGGATATCCTGTAAGTAAGTATTTTCAACTTTTCAACATAATGCTTTCATGTCACAGCATCCTATAAGACACTCTGGGAATTCAAGACCTGTGATGGAGAAACACCTTTGACTTTGGCAGTCAAAGCTGGTCTGGTGGAAAATGTAAGAACTTTACTGGAGAAGGGAGTATGGCCCAACACCAGAAATGACAAAGGAGAGACCCCCCTTCTGATTGGTAAATGACTTTTTTTTTCTAGAGCTTTTATAGTTTAAAACAAATAATAAGTATTTATTGGAAACCACTGTATAATGGCTAAGACTGTGATCTCAGTTCCTTCCATTCCCTGAGCTACTTGCCTAACCCCGTGTCTTCTGTCCTGTGATTTTGTTTTCCTGTTCCACAAGGATGTCAAATATGAAAGATGGCTATATTCTTCCGTATCCGGTTGTAGAGACTGCAACTAACCAGGAGGGATCTTAATTAGTTTTATGAAGCCAGAGGTACCAATTTTAAAGGAATATTCTCTAGGTAGGATCCAGGTGTAAGGAGGGTTGCATGTGCAATATATAGCCAGAAGCAAGAGATGGAAAAAGATTCTAAAGAGAGACATCAAGTTCACGACAGACTGATCAGGTCAAGCTAGGAGGAAGGGGAGTCCGCAGATTCTGAGTACACAGATGCGGCCCGTAGCACGTGTGCTGTATAAATACAGCATACATACAGTGTACAGAGGGGTACACCGTGACACAACAAGGATCAGTGGGAACTCTGAAGGTGACATTCAAGACACCTTCGGCTGTCTTGTATATCTTGCTATTTGTTCAACAGTAAGGATTGGTAAGTCTGTTTGTGAAAGCAGAGAGAAGGAAGATAAACTCCAAATGACCCAAAGATAACATTTCCTTTCTCTTAGAGACACAGGGTGGTGGAGTCAGAATTTGGTATTCACACATGAGATCAGTGGGTTTAAATCTTAGCTGTGAATTGCAATCATGGGCCTCAGTTTTCTCATGTATAAAATGGAAATACAACACCTACCATGCAGAATTGTGATTAAAAATTAGAGAAAAAAATATATAAAAGCTCTCACATGTAATCGAGGCTCAAGAGGGGAGAGCCATTATAAAGTTGTCTGTGTGTGGCAGGAGGAGGAGAGGGAAGAAGCGCAGGAGGAGAGGGAAGAAAGAACGTAAGATTATTTACCAGCAATCATAGAGGAAGACATTAAAGGTCATAGCTAGTTAAGAACCATCACAGCTCCTGTTCACTGAGGAATCACTAAATAAATAAATAAATAAATAAATAAATAACCAACCAACCTAAACAACTTGAATATTAAGAAGACCTGAATATTGTTAAGCAAACTTGGATAAATCATGAACATTAAACATTTACATTTGATGGCACTGATTGAACAATATCAATGCAACAAACATATATTAAGAAGTCACATTAAGCCAGAGGCTGTCTGGGTAGTGTGGATATAAAGATGAATGGATTAATCTTCCTCCTCTCAGAGTCCAGGAGGAGAGTTAGATACAATTTAAATGGAAAACTGGTGTTATAAATGCTGTAATTAAGTATATATTTAAACCAAATTGGGAGAATAAAAAAGTAGTGAATCTGTGAAGCCTTCAAAGAACCTTGCCGTTGGATTGTCTTGAGGGTTGTATAGGGGAACATCAGCAGACAGAGGCATGGAAGACTCCTAGGCAGGTATTCTGCCCTGACACACCTTGCTCCATGAAAAGAGTTGCCACAGTGTGGTGTCAGTTTGGCCTGGTTCCTTCTTACCTACTCTTGTCAGAGCTTTCAGCCTTGACAAATTCAGTTAAGATGGGAAAAACAATCTGATCCATATAGTTAGAATACAGACAAATCTTCTGCAACAAAAACCAAAGACAGATACACAAAGCAAACAAATAAGAATGACTTAAAGAGAAAGAAGTCATTTCTGTCACACACATTGCAGGGTGGCCCACGGTTGTCAGGGTGGCTGTATCAACATTACAGTGTGCTTCCGAGGTTGCTCCGAATGTCACCATTTTCCAGGAAGCAGGAGGGAGGAAAGAGGAAGCCCTAGGAAACCATCTTCAATTTAAAAAGATGACCTGGACAGTGCACATGGCCCTTCCACTCATATCCCATTAGTTCAGATTTTGTCACAATGCCACACCTTGGAGCAAGGGAGGCCCGAGGGAGGCCAGGACATTTAGTGTCTACCTGGATGGTCTGTGGCCAGCTAAATACTTGGGGCCTCTGTGGTTAAAAGGAAAAGAGGAAGCATAAATACTGAAAAACAAATCATAGTCTCTGGGTATGTTTTAGCCTGCCTTTAAATCACAGTAACATGACACTTTTTATAAATAAATCAGAACTCTTTTCCTGAGCAGGCTTTCAAGACATTAAGCAGAAGACATACCTGTGGGTGTTGACTCACCACTAGTAATGTGACCTGTATTATTTAAAGGCCAGAATAGGCCACAGAGTATTTGCAACAACATCTGTGTTGTTTCTATAGATCACCTTGAATTTCTGCAAAACAAAAAAAAGGACAGAATCGTATACTGCTTCACTTTGCAAACAGAGAATTATTATCTACTTGTTAGTTTCAATCCACTTATTTCTTAAAGGACAACTAAGCCATGATTATCACTCCTTTGTTTTCTTTTGGCTTCATTTAAATTTTTCTTTAATGCTTAAGGCCTATAATGGAGCAGTAAACATCTACATGCATTTCAAAGTTGCATATGTTGGTTTCACTCTCTAAGCTGGCAATATCTAAGGTGTAGGAAAGGAACTCTATCACTAAGTTATCAGAATTTACATGGAATTAATATTTGGATATATTTTAAAAACTAAGTGGTAAAGTCAAGAGAGAACTAAAGTCTCCATGAAGTTAATATGCTGGACACGCTCATGTGCATCCTCATCAGCCACAAAACTGGGGAAGAGGGGCTTTTCCTGGGTTACCTTATTCAGCACCTTTCCTGTAGAACCCATGACAAGTCTTCACAGGTTTTACAGGAAAATGGATTATCCATGGCCCTTATTCAGTTTGTTCTTGAATCTATGGGCCTGAGATTTCCTATTCAGAGTCCCTTAACTTGTAGAGGAGAGATATGGGGGAAAAAAGTATTTCTTCTTTTTGTCTGTACAATGCCATTTTTATTTTTCTTATCCTAATGCCAGCAACCTTATCTCTATTTATGAGATAACCTGAGAGGGTCAAGAAAAAAATCACTTTTGCTCCCTCTAGGGCCCTTATTCCTTTTTTTTTTTTTTTGAGACGGAGTTTCGCTCTTGTTACCCAGGCTGGAGTGCAATGGCGCGATCTCGGCTCACCGCAACCTCCGCCTCCTGGGTTCAAGCAATTCTCCTGCCTCAGCCTCCTGAGTAGCTGGGATTACAGGCATGTGCCACCATGCCCAGCTAATTTTTTGTATTTTTAGTAGAGACGGGGTTTCACCATGTTGACCAGGATGGTCTCGATCTCTCGACCTCGTGATCCACCCGCCTTGGCCTCCCAAAGTGCTGGGATTACAGGCTTGAGCCACCGCACCCGGCCTAGGGCCCTTATTCCTTATCAGTCATTTGTCCCTTCCTTATTTAAGGTACTTTGATACACTTTAGTCATGTTATACAGTTACTTGCTGAGTGGTAGGTATCTGATTTGTGAGGATGTGACACTTATTAAAGGTTTTTGCATTGGACTCCTCCTCTGCCCACCCCCCTGGAGTTGGTGTCACCTTTCCCTAGTTGGATAGCCACAAGCTGATCCTGGCCAGTGGAGCCCAGAGTAAGGAGGATGCTCAGGGAACCGCCTGGGATGACATCTCAGTCCCACTGCCCTCCATTCCTGATGGCCTTATGCCATCTATATAGCCTGTACAGATTGGCTCATTTTGCTTCAGACATTTTCTTTTTACCAATCAATATATTCTCTTCACTCCATTTCCTCTTTTAATCTCCAGTCCCTGTCAATATAATCAATAACCCTTGCCTATCATCTATGCAAAATTCTTAATAGAATTCCCTAAACCCTTCAATTTAAGGTCAGTTTTCTTTAAGTATTACTATTGAAGCTATAAATTTTAAAAAATTAATAAAGACTTTGAACATTTCTGAAAAAACTCTAAAGAATTTTAAATTCTAAATTTTAGAATTTTAAGTTCTAGATAAAAGAATTTTATATATACTATGTAAACATATATATATGTCCATATGTAAAACAAGTCATTTTCAACTTAGTATTTTACTTAATCAGTTATGTTACATCAATACTGTGCCTTAGGAGTTTTCATTATTTCAGTCACTTATTGGTTAAGAATGTCTTCATGGAATAGCTTGGAAGGGGTTTCCTACCATTTGCATTATTTCTATAGGAAGTACATTCTTAATTTCAAAAAATTAAATTGGAAGTGAAGTTTTGATTTTTTTAAAAACTATTTTAAGTTGAAGATGACCCATTTATTCTGTTATTTTCATGAAGAGAAACCATTAATATGAATCAATATGTTTTCTGAGTCAGACAAAAGGTAAAAAGATTATGAGGGAAGAGGCTCATTACTTTGATACTTTTTTTTCCTAATTAGAAAAACTGCCATCAGAGCAAGATCAATGAGGACATGTTTCGCTTAGTTTGTTTAGCTTACTTGATGTTTGCTCTGCAATAACACCAGCTAGCATGAGGTAATTCCCTGTAATTAGAGCTGTCAGTGACAGTTGGGCAATTCGGAGAGAGGCATTTGTCAACAGGTTCTACTTTAGACAAGGAGCAGGAGAAAAAATGGAATCTTCGCAGGGATGGCTTGCCTGCTCCCAAATGAAGTAGGCAAAGTTTATCTTCATCCTTTCATTGCCACATTGGGAGCTGCTCTCCCTGCCTTGGCGTTAGATCCTTTCTGTGATCTGCCTCCTGGTTACTCCAGAATGTTCGATGCAGCCTCACATTTCCTTCTGTGTTCCCCAGGATAGGCCCAGACTTTGAGTCTGTCTTTCCATAGTAGGTAGCGTAGGCTTCTTCTCTAGGCTGTAAACTCTATGAGTGAGATCCAGATCTGTCTCTTCTTCCTGTGGTCCACAGTGTGTAACACAGAGCCTTTCGTAGAGCCAGCCATATTAACTGAATAATAAATGAGAGTGAATGAATGAATGAGTGAATGTAAGTGTGTACATCTTCATTTGCAGGGGGTAGCACTCATCCTAATCTATTTGTCAATAGATTTTACTTACAAGAAAAAAAAGCTACATTTTAAGAATTGTATACATCTAAATGGGGACAATCTCTTAATAATCCAGAAAGGGAAAAACCTTTTAACTGTATAATGTCAGTCATTACAGATGAGCAGAGAGGGAGAGAGATATCTAATTTGGTGAACTTCCTTAATTGTACTACATTAACTGCCACTTACTTCACCCACTGGGAACAGCTAGCCTATGTAGATTCTAAACAATCTTATTGATAATCATCCATTAAAAATATAAGAAAGAGAGGCCGGGTGCAGTGGCTCAAGCCTGTAATCCCAGCACTTTGGGAGGCCGAGGTGGGCGGATCACCTGGCCGGGAGTTCGAGACCAGCCTGACAAACATGAAGAAACCCAGTCTTTATTTTAAAAAATACAAAATTAGCCGGGCTTGGTGGTGCATACCTGTAATCCCAGCTACTCAGGAAGCTGAGGCAGGAGAATCACTTGAACCTAGGAGGTGGAGGTTGCAGTGAGCCAAGACTGTGGCATTGCACTCCAACCTGGGAGTGCAAGAGCGAAACTCTGTCTCAATAAATAAATAAATAAATAAAATAAGAAAGAGAAGTTCATTCAATACTTACTGCTATCTTTTGTGGGATTGGGAAAGTGTTTCTATAGGGGAAAAACTGATGAACATTATTTACATATGAGGTTCCTGGGTCCTAAGAATGATATAATGATATAATAGTCAGTTACTGAGCTCCTTTTACATACTAGGTAATATACTGATAATTTTACATACATTATTTAATTTGTGCAATCCAACAGCAAATGTTATTTCCATTTTGTTGGTGAAGAAATTAAAGTTTAGACAGAGAGCGCACAGCATTCTATCCTAGTGATGTGTTTTCTGTGAAACTGTTACCCCTCCTCCAGATCTTAAAGAAATGTAGTGTCATCTTGTAAACTTATATTTCACAAATATAAACTTGGATATGAGAAACAGAAGGGATATGAGAACTACATTCTTTTCTTTGTAGAAGAGAATACTAGCTAATATCTATTTCAATATTAAATTCAGTCATTAGTTTATGCCATCTAAAGTATTTGTGTTAATATACTTACTGTTGTTTTTAAAAATCATTTTCAAGCTGTAAAAAGGGGCTCCTATGACATGGTATCGACTCTGATCAAACACAACACTAGCCTAGACCAGCCCTGCGTCAAGCGATGGTCAGCAATGCACGAAGCTGCCAAGCAAGGCCGAAAAGATATCATATCTCTGCTGCTAAAACATGGAGGCAATGTCCACCTGAGAGATGGATTTGGAGTCACACCCTTAGGCGTTGCTGCCGAGTTTGGTCACTGCGATGTGTTAGAACATCTAATCCACAAAGGTATGTGAAAAGGAGTTACTGTTTTCTGACTTTTGTCCTGCCTCTCAAGCTCTCCTTTTTGATATTCCTCACTCTTCCTCCCCTGAATGTAACTAGGGGAGATCGTCTTCCTCTCCTGAATGGAACTTGGCATCAGATATCTGATGCCTCAATAAATCCTTACTCTACAACTCAGCTAAGCCCTATATGTTGTGACCTACAAATCTACTAGCCCAGTCCTGATTGCTCTCTCTAGGGACAGTTCAATCTGCATATAGTTGGCTCATCAGGGCCTCAGGCTTATCTGTTCCTAAACTGAATTCCTCCTGTTTTTCTACTTTTCTGATGTGACAATTTCCCTCATCATGATCTCTAACTCCTCCATCACCAGCTTTCTTAAATCCAATCAGTTGCAAAGTCCTGTAGCATTTCTCTTGTCCTCTCCTTACAATCTATCTGCCATCCTGGTCAGGTCCCTTAATCCTCCCTGGACCAATGCAAATGCTTTCTAACCATTTTCTGGGTTTCTAGTCTCCCATCAGAGAATCATAGTAAATACTGCAACTTGGTTCCTCTCCCTAAAGGGCAGCTACCATAGTGTCAACTAGTCAAAAAAATAATGTCCAATTGTTTTACCACATTTATTCCTTACTGCTCCCATCTTGCATCCTATACTCCAGTCAAAATACACAAGCAGTATTCCGAAACATATCTTGCATTCCTTCTCTCTGGGTTTCAGTCAGGTCTTTGCCTTCATTTCTTCAGCAAAGTCAGTCTCTTGAAGCACGTCCCTACATCCTTTCCTAATTCTTCACAACAGATTGTGACATTGCCCTCCTTTATACAACTACAGAACCATGAGTTAAGGAGATCTAACTCCTAAACTGGATGAGCTATTATTCATGTGAGGCCCTAGGCCCTAGCCTTGTTCCTTAAATATCTGGCCCTCAGTGTCCTCATCTGCAAATGAATGCTAGCATCACATGATTCCCAGTGATTCTCTATGGGAAAAAGACTAACGTTTTTGAGGTCTCCCAATACAACCACATTTAATTATCAAATAAGCCGTGTGAAGTAGGCTGTATTAATCATTCACAGATGTGGAGTTGGAGGTGCATGGAAGTAAACGGCTTGTCCCCAGCTCTCACCATAAGCCGCAGGGGCTCTGTCCTCTACATCATGTCTCCTTGTCCTATTGTCACTGGAAAATCATACAGTTTGTGCTGTCTGATATTTTGTTTCAGTTCCCCTCTAAGCTCCTTAGAGTAGTCACACTCATTCATTTTAGGATCGCACACACTGATTGCACATAGAGGGCAATAAAGTATTTGTTAATACTTTATTAACCCTAAGTATTTGTTAAGTTAAAATAGAGTAGGCGGGGTGCCATGGTTCATGCCTGTAATCCCAGCACTTTGAGAGGCAAAAGTGGATAGACCACTTGAGGCCTGGAGTTGGAGACCACCTTGGCCAACATGGTGAAACCCTGTGGTGGCACATGCCTGTAATCCCAGCTACACAGGAGACTGAGGAAGGAGAACTGCTTAAACCTGGGAGGCAGAGGCTGCAGTGAGCTGAGATTATACCACTGCACTCCGGCCTAGTCGACAGAGTGAGACTCCGTCTCAAAATAAAACAAAACAAAACCCAAAAAGGCTATTGTCTTTAAATTAAAAAGTCTAATGAGACTTTTTTTGGAAGAATTTACCCATCATAAAAATTGATGTCATTTCTCTGTTTTTTGGCCTAAAGATTTTCTAATAAAACGAAGCATGCTGCATGCATGAGTGTTGATTGAAAATACAGCAAACATGGAGGTCCTTAATTTCATACTTTTTAAGTCCTAACCAGAAAGGAACTCAAGAGGTTGTTTTTTAGGGGATTGATTAAACAATACCATCCAGTTATGATTATGCCACGTTTTATTCTGCCAGGTGGTGATGTGCTTGCTCTGGCGGATGATGGGGCGTCGGTGCTGTTTGAGGCAGCAGGAGGTGGCAATCCTGACTGCATTTCCCTCCTGCTGGAATATGGAGGAAGTGGAAATGTACCTAACCGAGCAGGGCATCTTCCTATACACCGAGCTGCCTATGAGGGGCATTATCTGTGAGTCATAAATTATAGGGTTTTTGAGTTAAAAATGCAAATTTTTATATACAGTACAATCACAAGTCTATATATAATACCTTTCAAAATCCAAAGAGCGGGAGGCGAAATCTTCACATTTTAATGCTTCATCTTTAGATGCTTAGAACTTTTTTGATATTCCTGTAATTCCAAAAGTGAATTTATAGTACTTTATAATGAAAAGAAATTTTCTTTTAGAAGGAATTAAGGCATAAGTGAGAATTCTGCACAAGCCACCCAAGAGTGCCTTTCTGTTTACAAATGTATTTAACAAAAGGCTACAGTTTCTAAAAATTTTGTCCTTGACAAAGGATTACTATTTGTAACAACAGTGTCAGTGTTATTCCAATTATTTCCTAATATCTCCAGGATATTATAGTATAATGTCAAATATATTCTTGAATAGAAATGTTTCATTATAAGTTTACAATTCTTTATTCCATACAATTGGTTGAATAGATTCTTAAATCACAAAATGTGCATAATTAACACATTGGTAGAAGTCTAGATCACTATATTAAATTACCCACCATGAGAAGATGGTTTTAGGCAATTAAACATATTTCATAAGCTCAAAAACTTTGAAGTAATTGGGCTTTATAATTTTCAGTGGGCCACTGGCTAAGTGGCCAGTGATGCGTAATTGATGTTAAGTGACATGTTGTTAGAGTTTACCTGGATTTACTCCCAGTGTTCATAAATTTGCACAGTAGGCACAAGAGATCAAGTTATCCTTGCCTGTGGCTCTCATACATGTCTAGCTGGTTAGTCAAGTGTGAAATTCACAACCATATCACATGTACTTAGAAACATAAACCATGGTTGGTTATCTCATCTGGACTGATGCAAGGTTGATGGAATACTAAAGACTCTTCTTTTGGCTAATAATTCAATTGCAAGTTATATGGAAGCAGACAATGTACATGGTATTAAAAAATAGATTGCACAGGAATCAGTGAAAGAGGAATAATTCATGAGAATTTGAAAAGGCCCAAATTCTCATCCTTGCTCTACATTTAACTGTGTGACCTTAGACAATCATTTTGCCTCTCCAGACTTTAGACTGTTCTTCTGTTAAATGAAGCAGCTGGACTAAATGACATCCAGGGTCACTTCCTATGACCCTATGATCCTAATGGTCAAGATTACAAAGCACTCCTCTATGGCATTAGAAAATCTTACATTTCTTTTATATTTTTAAAAATAGTATTGGTTGCCCAGAAATAGTATATTGTTCAGAGGAGAATTGGAAGAGGGGGAGGGTTCCTGAGGAACCACAATTCTAGGACAAAGCATATAAGATGCAGTGTGTTTCCCAAGAATATTTAGAATAGAAAGCTAAATCAAAACTGAGCTAAATTACACTAAGCTAAATAGTTGTATCTCAATAGACAGAAGTTAAATGTTTCAGCATAAGGTTATCTAGAGAAAATAAGGGAAACTGTACAATTTGCATTCACTTACCTAACAAGAACAGTTTATTTAATTTCCTGATTTTCTTTATGGTACGTAGATATTTGACTTTTTTTCTTGTAGTGCACTGAAATATCTTATCCCGGTAACATCTAAAAATGCAATTCAGAAAAGTGGGCTAACACCAATTCACTCAGCGGCAGATGGACAAAACGCACAGTGTCTAGAACTGCTCATTGAAAATGGTTTTGATGTCAATACCCTACTTGGTGAACACATTTCCCAGAACTATGACGATGAGAGGAAGACTGCGCTGTATTTTGCCGTTTCTAATAATGATGTTCGTTGCACAGAAGTCCTTCTGGCTGCAGGTGCAGACCCAAACTTAGATCCCCTCAACTGTCTACTTGTGGCGGTGAGGGCCAATAATTATGAAATTGTCCGGCTGCTTCTCTCCCATGGAGCTAATGTCAATTGTTACTTTATGCATGTGAATGACACTCGTTTCCCCAGTGTCATTCAGTATGCCCTAAACGACGAGGTAATGCTGAGGCTATTGCTGAATAATGGCTATCAAGTGGAGATGTGCTTTGACTGCATGCATGGTGACATCTTTGGAAATTCATTTGTGTGGTCAGAGATAGAGGAAGAGGTGCTGCCAGGATGGACATCTTGTGTAATAAAAGATAATCCGGTGAGTTATGCCTTTTCTGCTTTATATTGGGTCATCATCCTAATTTAGCACACATTCATTCATTTAGGGATGTTACAAGAAGAAAAAAAACTCTAATTTTTCTATTTTTCTTCTTCAGTTTTTGTTTGCAAAGATATGGGGATATAAGCATAAATCTAGACTCTAGCCCCTCTGCCCCCCTCCAAAAGATGCTGTTCATTTTTTCTTGACTTGAAAACTGAATGTAAAAGAATGTGAAATGTATGCAATTAGTCACTTCTGCCTGTTTAGTGGAATACTGGGGCCAGATGGAAAGAAGCATGATTCCTCCATGCTTTGCTGACTACAGTCACATCAGAGCAAGGCGAGTCTTCAGGGCTGATGGTGTCACAGAAAGAAGCAAACAATTTATTTTTAATTTTTGTTCATTACAAGGAGGGATCTTTTATTCTCTGTAATAAGAGAAAGAGTAATGTTTCCATAATACAATTGAGTGTTTATGTACATGGCATATTAAAAATACTACTAAATTAAATTTTATCAATTCTCTCAGTTCTGTGAGTTTATTACAGTTCCTTGGATGAAGCACTTAGTAGGCAGAGTTACTCGAGTACTAATAGATTACATGGATTATGTTCCTCTGTGTGCTAAACTGAAGTCTGCACTAGAAGTACAGAGAGAATGGCCAGAAATCCGTCAAATACTAGGTAAAAACCAGAAGTTTTGCCTACAATTTTTAATTAAGAACATATATGGGGGAAGTTCTTAATGTCTTCTTTGATACTTTTTCTATGCTACTCTACTATATTTCCAGAATTATCTGGGTTTTAAAATTATTCTTAACACTTCCTCTGTTGTAAGATACATATTTTCATTTTTCTTTATATTTTCCAACTTTGTAATTATATAATGAGTAATAAAATAGCTATATTAACATTCTGATTACAATTCATTTTTAAAATTAATTTCCATAATATCACACAATATGTAGACTGCAAGCTCCATGCGGGTAGGGATCTGCTTTGTTTCTCGTTATATTTGCAAGTCTTAGCATAAGGCCTCGTAAGTACAGTTCAATAAATATGGAGTAAATGAATGAACAAAAAGGATTAGAATTACTCTTTTTTTCTGAGGTCTTTATCGACAAAACCCTACCATCAAAGGTTAGTATTTATAGACAGGCCATTTTTTCTTTTCTAGGTGAAAGTTTATCATGAAAATGAATCATACAAGTTTCAATGAAAGTACATTTTAAAATAATTCAAATACAAATAGAAACCAGAAAAATATCATAGATTTGAGATGGTTACACTTACAAAATAAGAGTTCAGAAAAATAAACTTTCAAAATCTAGTTGGACATCAATTTCATAAAGCCTAAAGAATTATAGAACTTTATATGACATTTAAATTATTTAACATTCATAATATACCTGAATCAGCCTTTCCATGGAATTAGTTCTATAATAGAAGAGACTCTAAAACAGGAAACTTGGAGAATCTGATGAGTAATATAGCATTGTTAACCTAGAAATTGAGCTCTGGGGTCAGATAGACCTAGAATGAGATGAAATTCTGGCCTTGCCTAGAAGTAGGATTGCTAGATTATAAAGCGCAGTGTAATTTGGGACTGATGTTTTCATGAAAAAAAGCAACAATTTATTGTTACAATTTTTGTTTTTCTAAGTGAAGGAGGATTTTTTTTATTTCCTATAAAAAGACCAAGATAGCCATTCTAGTTGTGTGACTTTGAGCAAATTACTTATTCTTTTTATGTCTAAGTTTTCCTACTGCAAAGTAGACATAGGATAGTATTAACCTTATAAGGTTGTTGTGAGATTATAAAGAAATAATGCATATGAGGTGCTTAGTGTCTAGAACATTTAAATTATGTAATAAATTTAGTTTTAAAACTAAAGTATTAACATTTTTATGTTTTTATTACATGGTAAGTTTATGTGATATATCTGAAATGTATATGTAAAGTGTGCTATGAAATATTGTAGAGTTAAGTAGTATCATGCCTGTTTTTTACAAAGAAAAAGCTAAGGCTAAAAGAGATTACAAAATAGTCTAGACTTGAAAACCACCTCTCAAAGTTCCCTTCCTGAACTTAAAGCCTGCATTGAGAGCAAAATCAAAAATTGATCAGGACAGAAACAAGAAAGGACCCACAAAAAAGAGGGGGTGGCAAACAGAGCCAGGAAACCTCAGAAATCTAACCACCGTATGTTGGATCATTGCAAGAAAATACTAGAGTAAGAAGCTCTGTAAAGTTAGAAGAGCTAACTGGAACCAAGTATCCTTCTAAAAATTCAAGAAAACTATATGCAAACAAAAATGAGCAACAGAAAATATCACAGTCAAATCCCATAATAGTAAGACAAAATAGAACAGCATAATATCCCCACAAACAATGAATACATAACTGAAAAATTACACTGTCAGAACAATCAAAATTCAAACCTCTGTTTCAAAATAAGCCAAAAAGCATGAGGAAAATAATATAAGATATGGAAGAATAACATGAGTCAAAAATTTGAAAAATTCAGAAACCAGATCACAACTGAGGAAAGAATTAGGAATAAAAATTAGAAAAAAAATAAATTCAAATGTGAAGACTGAACAGCTGGCAACACAGTTGACAATACATTGAGAGACAGAAAAGAGGCTATGGAAGAAAATTTTTAAATCAAATATAAATGAAGAAATAGATAAAAGGATTTTAAAAATATATATATTTGTTCATTTCAATAGGTTTTGGGGAAACAGGTGGTGTTTGATTATATGGATAAGTTGTTTAGGGGTGATTTCTGAGATTTTGGTGCACCCATCACCTAAGCAATGTACACTGTACCCAATGTGTACTCTTTTATACCTGGCCTATACTTCCTCCCAAGCCTTCAAAGTCCATTGTATTATTCTTATGCCTTTGCATCCTTGTAGCTTAGATTTCAAAAAAAAAAAATTGAAAGACAGTTAAAAACATTGACAACACACAATGAATAGTCAATATATGGGTAATAGGACTCCTTGAAAAGGAAAAACAAATCAAGGGAACATAACAAATACAAAAACCTAGGCTTCAAGAAAAACCTTCTATAATAAAAAAGATTTGAAACTATAATGTACAAAATACTATATCCTTTGGGCATGTAGGCAAAAAGAACAAGTGACATATAAGAGAAAAATGGATTATTATTAAACTTTTTATCGACAATACTTCATGCCAAAAGAAAATGGAGTAACATATTTAAGGATCTCCACGGAAGGAAAATGTGAGCTACGGATGCTTACGTGGCAAAATTGGCTTCCAATGATCAGTGCAGACAAACTGCTGTCAGCATGCAAGAACTCAGGAAATATTGTTCCTCTTACTGACGTCTGAAGGATACTAAAAAATGACCTTTAGACAACCCAAAATGTTTAGAGCGGTATCAACGTGAGGAGTAGTATTAACAAGACTAGCATTAATCAGAATGCCAAGACTAAGAGTTAAAAGGGAGGAGATGCAATATGTAATGGTTATATGCTCTGATGAAATAGATAACAGCACAATTATTTATTTTTAAATATTAGTAAATAGATAAAATAAACAATATTTAATAATAAATTAAAATACATATTTTAAAATATCTTAAAATATTGATGGTGATATATTAATATTGTTGTGCTGAGAATGATATATTCAGTAAATGAGTAATTAAGGAGTATTTCAATTCTATTATTCCTTGTATCCTTGAAGCCAAGGATTGCCAGTGTGGCAGAAAAAAAAAAAATGTAATAGAGAAGAGATTAAAGAAAAATCCTGTAGTCCTGAATTTGAATTAGAAGTAACAATATAAACTCATAAGCTGTTTTATCTTGAAAGTGTGTGTGTGTGTGTGTGTGTGTGTGTGTGTGTGTGTGTGTGTGTGCGCGCGTCTGTTTACAGATAAGGCTTAGGAATAATGATAAACCCAGTAGAAATGAGCATTCCTACGTCACAGATTTTAGCCTGGAAATGCCATTTCCTACAAAAGAAACCAGGGTTTTTGCTGGAGGTTGTTTTGTTTTGTTTTTGAGAAATGGATGATTGCATCTGGAGAAGGAAATGAACAAGATTCACCTGGAACATCTGGTCATACCAGAAAGCAAAGAAACTCTTAAGAACTACATAATTCATGACAAAAGAATTCAGGGGCCAACTTGAAGAGGTTCCAACTGGCCAAAGATGGGACAATTTAAGTTTCAAAAAGGGTAATTATTTTAATGAATTGAAACTTATCTTTTTTGTGTTTTTTTTTTTCTTTTTTTCTTTCTTAGTCCTTCAACTTGTATTTTAAGTTCAAGGCTACATATGCAGAATGTGCAGGTTTGTGACATGGGTAAACATGTACCATGGTAATTTGCTGCACAGATCATCCCATCACCTTGGTATTAAGTCCAGCATCCATTAGCTATTCTTCCAGATGCTCAAACTCCCCCGAGTCCCAAAAGACCCCACTGTGTGTTGTTCCCCTCCATGTGTTCATGTGTCTTATCATTCAGTTCCCACTTGTAAGTGAGAAAACGTGGTGTTTGGTTTTCTGTTCCTGCATTAGTTTGCTGAGGAAATGGTTTCCAACTCCACCCATGTCCCTGCAAAGGACATATCTCAATCCTTTTTATAGCTGCACAGTATTGCATCATGTATATGTACCAATTTGTTTTTATCCAATCTATCATTGATGGGTATTTAGGTTGTTGATTCCATGTCTTTGCTATTGTTAATAGTGCTTCAATGAAAATACATGTGCATGTATTTTTATAATAGAATTATGTATTAAATATACAATTTTTAAAAAACTGGTCAGCTTCATAAGATAATAGAAAATCAACTCATTATCTTAACAACTGATGAAAAAGAGGTAAGCACTTATTCTGCTTTACATATATATGTATATAAAAATGTATATGTATATAAAATATATGCATATGATATAAAATGTATATATATATAAAATCTGTGACATTAGTAACTAAAGAGTAGATGAACAACAGCATCCCTTTATAAAAGTATTCTAAAAATAAAAAAGATATTACATCACCATTTTATAGCCCCCAATAAATTAATAGATGTAGTCAATGAGCATCCACAGCTGCTAATATGTAGCCCCCAAAGAATGAACACAGAATCAGCTATGTTTTGCCAAAGAGATCAAACCCGAGCCTGATCAAGTTTCTGGATCCAGTTATCAATTTGCAAGAAATACAGAAGACAGTGGGACATGGAACTGCACCATGAAAATGCAATCAGCAGAGTTCAGGCTGTGGGAAACTACAGGGCATTTGGGTTCTTCAAAGATTAATTCAAAAGACAAGAAGTGGGTGGAGAGAATAACCTGCAAATTATTAGAGACTTAAAGGACATAGCAAAAATTTTAAAAATATATTGTCAATACTATAGGGCAGGGATAGTGCACTTCCATGATGAAACTCTAAAGAAACTGATTACAAGTCAGAATAGTAGTTATTTATGGCAGGAGAAAGAAAGATGGAAGAATTGTAGAGGAATTTCTTGGTTGTCTTACAGAGTTCTATGTCCTATAGACCTAGGAGGTGATTAAAGATGTTCAGCTAATAATTACTTATATAAAATTAAACTATACATGTGTACTTTATTTTATTTTGCAATAAAGAGTTTAAACCCTTATTTTTTAGCTTGGAGACTGCAAGGGGGAGAAAAATGCTGAGGCTTAGATAAATTAATTTCTCAAAGTAATAGACATAGAAAATAACAAAGTGAAGATTTGAACCCTTGTTTGTCTTACTTGAAAAAACACAGACTCTTCCTATAATAGCATCGTACTTCCTGTCATAGAACAGATTTTGCTACTAAGTGGAAATTAATTGCTCACTTTTTTTTTTCAAAATAATTACCAATTCTGATGACTTTGGAAAGACAATTCAAGTAAGAATAATGTCAGGAAGTTTTTTTTTTTTTTTTTTTTTTATTGTTTTCGGCATACATTATTGCAACTAGGGTAGAAGCCAGTTGATTGCTATGAGTGTGATTAACCACTGGATGTCAGGAGCCCTCCAGCTATCTATAAGACAGCATATTTGTTAGGGGAAAAAAATTGCATTTTTTTAGATGGATTTTTTTCTTCTTATTTTGGTAATAATGTTGCATCAATAATTTTTGAGAGCATTGTTTTTAATTTAAAAAAATTGTTGATATCATCAAATGTAATATAGATGTGATCATGTTTATTATTGTATTGAATGATAGTTAATATTTATTGAATGGTTACAATGTTCCAGGCACTTTTCTAATACTTTACGTGATTTGTTTAATCTTCAAACAACCCTATGAGATAAGTACTGTTGTTATTCTTATTTCACAAATGAGAATACTAAACTCGCAGACATTAAGCAATTTGCCCAAGGTCACACAAATTATTAAGGGGCAGAGCTAGGAGTTTAGTCCAAGCTGATGTGGTCCAGAGTGCACATCTAAGCCTGAATGCTATGCTGCTCCTTTATTCGTTCAAATTGCTACTATAAAATATCAATCTTGCAATTATAATATAGATAAAGTAAGAATTAAAAATATCATCAGATATTTAAATAATTTTAGTATATTTTTGAGAATATACAAGGTTTAAGTAACAGACTCTGGAAACAAAATCCAGACTGGATTATTCATGATAAATGGAATTATCTGCATCAATGTTTTATGGATAATTATTTATCAGACAGATTGATAGGAGAAAGAAAGTAAAGAAATATATTTATACAATACTTAGCTCTAAAAAAATAAAGAAGAGATGTGGGCATTTGCTTTCTTAAGTCCGTGTATTCATTCCACAAATTCTAGCTGAATACCTACTATGAGCCAGACTCCCTTCCTGGCACAGACACAGACTAAATTTTTGCCCTCATGGAGCTTACATTCTAGAGGAGTAGACTAGAATATTCAATTACAATTTGAATTTCACTTAAAATCACCAGTTGCTAAAGTGTGCATGCATGTTTTTCAGAATACACTATTCATGTTATTTTGAAATAGTTATATCTTAGAGGTCAATCCAATATTTAAAAAAATTTTTTTGCTTATTTTCCCCATTTCTTTTAGAGAATCCTTGTTCATTGAAGCATTTGTGTCGGTTAAAAATTCGAAGACTTATGGGACTCCAGAGACTCTGCCAGCCAGCCTCAATGGAGAAGCTTCCTCTACCACCAGCTATTCAAAGATACATATTATTTAAAGAGTATGATCTCTACGGACAAGAGCTAAAGTTGCCATAATATTTTAAAATGTGATTTTAAAAAATATTTTGAAATGTGATTCCCTCAGATAATTTCTTGGAACCATTTTACATCCTTAATTGTAAAGTGCATTTAAATTTGTTGACAATTTTATAGGTGAATCATGTGTTCTTAAGGGGAACACCATGATCTGTGTCTTTAAAGACATTTACATTTTTTAAAGATACTATTTTGAACTTGGATTTGTATCTTTGTCTTCAGACTCTTCCTATCAAGTGGCTCCTGCAATATCCACAATCAAGTCTTTATAACAGATAACCACTTTCTCAAACCCACATCTCCTTCCATTTGCTGGCCTGATTCTCCTGTCTTTCATGGTCTTGCTGTGTAAAAGAGCTCCTCCTGCCTGTAAGTTCACACATTGTGATCTGGTATCTGCCCCTATACTGCTTTTCTCAAGGTCCCTGACAATCTCTCTGTTGCTAAATCCAGTGAACATTCTTCAGTCCCTCTTCCAATTGATTCCTGCAGCATCCAACATTGTTGCCTGTTTCCTCCCTGAAATGATACCTCTTTCCCTGTTTCTTACAAAACCTTGTTCTCTTGGGTGTCCTCCCACCTTCCTGGATACTCTGTCTCTGGCTTTTTGCTGCCTAGCTCATCTCTAGCCAATCTTTTAGTCACCTATCTTAAGCCCTTTTCGCTTTTGCTTTGTTCTTTAAGTTTTGTGTACTAAGCCCTCTTTGCTTTGTTCTCTGGGAAATTTTATCCACATCTATGGTCTTAATCAGCTCTTTCCCTCATGTGCTTCCGACCTATGTAGAGAATTGGCCTAATGAACATTTGAACACAAAGACAGACGTGTCCCCAGATGAACTCACTACCTTACTCCACAAAAAAAAAAAAAAAAAAAAAAAAGCTCTTTCTCCTTCATTCTCTAGCTCAATAGTTAGTACAATGCTCAATTCAGTTTCTGAAGAAAAAAGCCTGGACATCAGACTTCACCATCCCATTTCCTCACCCAATAAGACAAATCACCAAATCCTATTACGTTCATCTCCTGAAGTCATCTTCCACTCAGCCCTCCCGCCCCCGGATTTGGCCTTAAGTCTATTACCTTCTTTTTCCTGGGTTAATACAGTGCTGCTTATCTGACTCCCCTGCCTCTGACTTGCCCTGTCCCAAACACTGCCTACATACAGCATCTCAGAATAGTCTTTTACAAATATAATAGAGTTTCACTTCTCTGCTTAAGATCATTTCCATTGCTCTTGGGTTAAAGTCCAAAGTTCTTACTTGAACTTTCATAATCTAACTCCTGCCTTTTTCTTTAGTGTCATCTCTGGATATCTCCCTTTCCTCCCTTCCCTTGACCCTTCTAGAATTTTATTTCTTAAAAGTGATTTCCAGACTTTAAGGTGTCATGTACCAATAGGTTTTGTTGTGTGAATTTTTTAAAAAGACTGTTTAAAATATACCATCTACTATCACCATCATTTCATAAAAGAGGGGTCATTTTAACGGCAGAAAATAAGATGGTTAAAAACTCAGTCATTCAAGTTGAATGACTTTTGCTTCAACTTGAAGACCTCACACTGTTCTCATTTCCCTACTGATGAGTGAGAATTTCACTGTGGGCCATCAAATATCTGAGGACCTTTGTATGGGGAATCACTGCTGCAGAATAGACCATGCTCTCTTTGAACCTCAGGGTCTTTGTTTTTCCTTCTCTCACCTGGAACTCTCTTTCCACTTTTTCTGCATCCTTTCACCTGATCAGCTCCCTCTTACTCCATAGATCTCAGCTGAGATGTAGCTTCCTCTAGGATGGGAAGCCCCAGCACAGAACTTGTCATGCTATATTATAGGTGCCTGTGTTCCCTGCTGTCTTCCCACTAGACTGTAAGCTCTCCGAGGCCAGGTTCTATGTCTTGTTTTCCAGTGCTTTCTCAGGGCCAAACACATTCCCTAGAGCACAGAGTTCAATAATTATTTGTTGAAATATGTTGAATAAGTGACAAAAATAATCAGTGACCTCATGGTGAAATAATAGCTTTAAATTTCTGAGTGAGTTATGTCATCTTGATAATGTAATTATTTAATGTTATTATTTTTAGATTTTAATAGTGTATTTTTCTTATATTTATTTTTATCTTATTACTTGATTCTTTCAACAGTAATATCTCACTGCTCTGTAAAGTTTTCAAGTTATATTTAGCTTTAATTACCTTTGAAAGATAAGTATGAAAAAATAACCTGTAAAATTAGGGCTATAATTTAACTTCTTATATTCCCTAGAGGATATGTTTTATACGTAAGTTAAACTGTAATATATTTACCTTTAATTGTAACATTCTGTATACAGGATTTTATGATTCTTGTGTTGCACTCTTAGATGTGGTTAAAATGTATTGTTATCTAAATATATTGTTCTAATAAATAAAAAATCATATTGTGGTTATAAGTCTGCTTTATGATACTTCATATATTAGACTCTCGCTCACTAAAGCTTTGACATTTTCTTTGATATATGTTTATGTAGATAATATTCAAGAAACACTTCGATATAAAAATATGAATTAACTGCACGTGCTATGGGTTTTTAAAAGTGGTTTTTTGGCATTTGTAAAGCAAGAGAAAAATGTATCTTATGAAAAAGAAGCAATTGCTGTATCTAAATCAAATTTGATCTTTTACTCACCACATTTTGGGCTTTTCTAGCAGTGTTTTTGTTTTTGAGATGGCTGGATGGAAAAGGAATTAATTTCTATCTCATGAGGACTCTGTTTCTTCTAGAGTATGTCACTCTATCCGGGAAAGGGAACAGCTGCTCCTTCCCAGTCAGCACTAGGAGAAGCCAAACATTCTACAGTGGAGCCTGTCTAACCACTGTGGAATCAACATGGCAGAGTCTGGATGTCATCTTCCCCCATGCTGCCAAGATGTCTGTGCCTGTTTTAGTCCCTGTGGATTTTGTTTTGTATCACACAGAGAGTCTGGGTGGAAAAAAGCAGATCTGAACTCTTATTAAGCATGTTTTGTTTATTTTTCCATAGGCCATCATTAAATAGAATCTCCATTTCCGGCTAAAGATAATTTTAAGAAGGACACTGAAACCAAGTGCCTCCTGAAGAATATGGTTTAATCATTTTAACTAGTCACAGAACATGTTTCCTGGTAATAGGATGTCAATGCAGAAGATGTGAAAATGATTATATCAATGTGCAGCAAATATTCACAGGCAACACCACCTTTAATGCAGGCTTTTGAACAACCAGAACCTATGGGTCAGACAGCATGGAAACTCTAACAAGATGGAGGATCTTATGACCCAGAGAACATACATAAGCCTTTCTCTTGTTATTGACCTTTTACCAGAAATACCTAAGCAAATTTTGTTTTCAAGTCACCTATTTTTATGTATATAACCACCTTCCATTCAGAAATTACTTAGGAATATAAAAATTATAAGCTGCTTCAGCAACATGAACGCAGCTGGAGGCCATAACCCTGCAAGAATTAATGCAGGAACAGAAACCAACTACCACATCTTCTCACCTATAAGTGGAAGCCAAACATTGAGTATACATGGGCATAAAGATGGGAACAACTGATACTGTGGATGACTAGAGGGAGAGGGGAGGAGGGCAGAAGTGGGGGAGGAGGGAGTAGTAGGGAGGAGGGAGGGTGAGGGGGAGGGGAAAGGGGGAGGGGTGGGAGTAGGGCAGAATGGGGAAAGGAGAGGAGGTGAAGGGCAGAAGTGGGGAGTCAGAGGTTCCGAAGGGGAAAGGCAGAAGTGAAGAGGGGAAGGGCAGAAGTGTGGGGGGAGAGGGAGGGCAGAAGTGGAAAGGGGTTGAAAAACTACCTAATGGGAACTATGCTTACTACTTGAGTGAAGGAATCCATACCCCAAACCTCAGCATCATGCAATATACCCATGTAATAAACCTTCACATACACTCCTGTATCTAAAATAAATATTGAAATTATTTTTTAAAAATATAAGCTGCTTCAAGTGTTTTTATGAAACAAAATGCACATTATATAAATATATGCACACAACTACATGACATATACATATATACACATAAACAAACACACATGCATTGTAGTATGGCATTTATTGCAGTACTGTAGGTAATGCAGTGCGCAAGTACACATACTTTGTACTTAAATAGGTATGTTAAGTGGAATAAGCCAGGCACAGAAAGACATATCTCACTTATATGTAGAATCTTAAAAAAGCAAACTCACGGAAGCCGAAAGTAAAATGGTGGCCACCAGGAGCTGGGAGGTGAGGGGATTCAGGAGATGCTGGTCAAAGGATACACAATTTCCGGAGAAGTAAGTTTGAGAAATTCATTGTACAACATGGTGACAATAGTTAAAATAGTGCATTGTACATTTGAAAACCTCTAAGATAGTAGATTTTGTGTTCTCTTCACAAAAAAAGTGTGTGAGGTAATGAATATGTTAATTTGCTCTATGTAGCCATTTTACTATATATATATATATATATATATATATATATATATATACTTCAAAGTATCATATTATATACCTTAAATATATACAATTGTTGTCAATTTAAAAAACAAAAAGATACCAAAACAGGTATCAATTACTTTTATAGTGTCTTAAGTTTATATAGATAAACAGTATCATTAAAATATAAAATAAAAACAGACTGAATCATTTTGAACCAGGCTCTGCAAATTATTTGCTGGTTGGTTTTGGACTAGACATGAACTAACTATCTAAGGTACTATATCCAATATAGAGTAAATGCACATGAAACCTGAGCTCTTACCACTATTACCACATAGTGGCAGTGCAAACGTCAGAACTGCAAAAGTCAAGAACCTTGGTCTTATGGTACATGGCTGTAGACTGTCATTACATCTGAAAATACAAAAAAAAAATTGTTAGGAATGTATATGGCATCTCACTGTCATTTCTAAACACTTTGACAACATTCATGGAATGAAAACTTGCAGAGAATTGTCTCTAGGCAGTAAAACCCCACAGATTCTTTTCCTTGGTAAAGCCTTAATGATCAATTGTTGACAAGGGAAGAAAGGGCTTCTCAGGGGAGAAGATGAGTAGAAGGAATAGATTTATTTGACCTCAGTGCCCCAAGTTGTGTAACCTCAGGGAATGCTGGAGATGTCTGGGGATTTGCTGTTTTGGGAAAGAGATAGTTTAGTAATTTGAATCTGGGCACTGGGAGCATCTGAGTTCTAATGCTGCATTAGCCAATGATTCTACCAGAGGCACTTGACAGGTACTCACATTCTGTGCTTCCGACTCCAGGAAACTAGGAACAGCCATTGCTCTTGCTCTGGAAATCTTCCATGAATCTTTCTGAAATCTCTCAATGAGATTTAAGATAAAACTTCTTGGAAGCATCCTATACGGCTGGATCAGGTAGAAAGTATGGAGGGCACTAAATGTGATACATACCTTTGGATTGAGTGTGTGTGAGACACCAGTAGCTAGTTCTTTCTGTTTGAAGCCAAGTTCACACTGTTTTCTCATGGCAACTAGTTTTTAGGTTTTAGTGGAAGTTAAATATCCAGGCATGACATCCAGTGGTCTGCAATTGCATGTTCTTTGCAATTGCTATGTTTCTGAGTGTCTGAATACCCCTATGTTTCTGAGTGTCTGAATACCCCTATATGGTTACCCAAATTGGTTTAATATCATTTCAATGAAACAACAGTTTTAATCACCTTCCACTGGAGGCTGCCAACATTTGCTTAGGCTTTCCTTTGACTCACCAGAACCTCTCAACCTGAGCTCGACTCTGCACCCAGTCCTCTCATTGGGGGCCTGCCCTGCCACAGTTACCTGAAGTACCCAAGAAGCTAAATTGAGTCTGTGAGTTGGAGGGTACCCTGATTAAATCAGAACTTCAA